ATCTGTAATCCCAGTGACTCAAGGGGCTAAAGCAAGAGGATTGCAAGTTCTAGGTCAGCCTCAGCAATTTAGTGAAACCCTGTCTCAAAAAATAAAAAGGGCTGGGCATGTAGTTCAGTGGTAGAGTGCCCTGGGTTCGATCTCCAGTATTAAAAAAATAAAAAATGATAGCCTATAGGTTGATAACAGGTATTAATTTGGAAAGGTTCAACATCCACTTTTTTTTTGGGCTGGGGGCAGGTACTGGGGATTGAACTCAGGAACACTCAACTACTGAGCCACATCCCCAGCTCTATTTTGTATTTAGAGAAGGGGTCTCATTGAGTTGCGCCTTGCCGATGCTGGCTTTGAATTTGTAATATTCTTGCCTCAGCCTCCCAAGTTGCTGGGATTACAGGCATGTGTCATCACACCTGGCTGTGCTTTCTTTCTTTTCTTTATACTTTATTTATTTAAAATATTTTTTAGTTTTTCTTTTTTTTTTTTTTTTAAGTTGTTGATAGATCTTTATTTATTTATATGTGGTACTAAGGATGGAACCCAGTGTCTCACACATGCCAGGCAGGCACCTACAACTGAGCCACAACCCTAGCCCTGGCTGTGCTTTCTTGTATCCTGTCCTCTTCATCTTCTTCCCCTGGTCTTATGTTTACTAGATTTCTATTTTTGAAACTACTATATTACTTCCTTTTTAATAATGGTTTCTCTTAAAATGTTTTTAACAAAATATATGTGACAATCAAGAAGTTTTAAAGAATAATGTAATAAATATATGCAGAACTGCCACAGAGTTTAGAACGATATTATCAGTTATTTTTATATATAGTTGAAACTTCCTCTTTATTTCTGTACCTTATAAACTTTTCTGTCCCTTACAGGTAGTCATTGTTCTAAATTTAACTTACTTTATTTATTTATTTATTTTTATTAACATTTACTTCTCACTCTTTTATTTTTCTGGTACTGGGGATAGAACCCAGGGCCTCAGGCATGCTAAGCAAGTGCTCTACCACTGAGCTACATACACACCCAGCCCTGTTTCTCACAGCTCTGGAGGCTGGGAAGACCAGGATCGACGGGTCTGAGAAGGGCCCACTTCCTATTTCATAGTGATGCCTTCTGGCATCTCCTCACATGGTGGAAGTGGCAAGGCAGCCCTCTGGGTTAACTTACTTTAAATTGTTGCACTTTTGAATCAAGTTAAACAAGGGTTAGCTGGATTTGGTGGCATATGCATGTAATTTCAGAGACTCAGGAGACTGAGGCAGGAGGATCATAAGTTTGAGGTCAGCATTGGCAATGTGAGTCTCAAAAAAATAAAAATAGGAAGGACTGTCATGCGCAGGGCGATCCTCGGCACCACATAAAATAAAATAAAAATGTTATGTCCGCCGAAAAATGAAAAATATATATTAAAAACTTCTCTCCCTTCTCTCTCTCTCTCTCTCTTTGTTTTTTAAAGAGAGAGAGAGAGAGAGAGAGAGAGAGAGAGAGAGAGAGAGAGAGAATTTTAATATTTATTTTTTTAGTTTTCAGCGGACATAACATCTTTGTTTGTATGTGGTGCTGAGGATCGAACCCGGGCCGCACGCATGCCAGGCGAGCGCGCTACCGCTTGAGCCATATCCCCAGCCCGCCCTGCTGCCCTCTCTCTTTAAAAAAAATGCTTTTGGGATATATCATTTCTTAGATGTTGAGTACCTACTGTTTTAATTAATAGGAAGGCCTCTTATAATCTAAAATTAGAAATGAGCCTAGTTTTGACTTTTATATATATGTTTTTTCATTTTGGGGCTGGGATTGTAGCTCAGTGATAGAGTGCTTGCCTAGCTTGAGTGAGGCCCTGGTTTTGATCCTTAACACAACATAAAAACAAATAAATAAAATAAAGTTTAGATTCTTAAAAAAAAGATAATAACATAATAGGCACAAGCTTTGAGAAGGAAGGCACACTGTGTACAATAGTGACAAAACCCAGTCATCGTGCTGGGGTTGTGGCTCCATGGTGAAGCGCTTGCCTCAACTGTGCGAGGCACTGGGTTTGAATCTCAGCACCACATATAGATAAATGAATAAAATAAAGGTCCATCAACAAATAAAAAAAACCCCAAAAGCCAAAAAACCCCAATTATTTCCATAGGTATGAACCACAGAGGATTTTATTTTCATATTTGATGAAAAAAAATTTTTTTTTTTTTTGTATAGGAAATTGAACCCAGGGGCTCGAATACACTGAGCCACATCCACAGCCCCTTTTTGTATTTTATTTAGAGAGGCCTCTGTGAGTTGCTTAGGGACTCACTAAGTTGCTGAGGCTGGCATTGAACTCACAATCCTCCTTCCTCAGCCCTCTAAGCTGCTGAAATTACATGCCTGTGCCACTGCACCCAGTTTGATTAAACTTTTTTTTTTATTTTTTGAGAAAAAGATAAAAGAAAGTTTATTTCTTTGCTAGTAAAGAAGAAACAGGGTATTTCTGTCCTAAAGTCTGTGATTCTGCCCATCAGCAGGAACAGGGGGCTACATTCCACATATTCTTTGTCTGGAATTGTAACTGGCTTGTTAATTTGGGAGAGTGTCATCTCTGAGATCTTTTGGTACCATCCCCAAAGTCTGGATTACTTTGTTCCTATGGTGGGTAGTGTTTGATGAAACTTTTTCTTTTTCTTTTTTTTTTTTTTTTAGTTATAGATGTCTTTATTTTACTTTATTTTGGTGCTGAGGATCCAACCCAGTGCCTCACATATGTGCTCTACCACTGAGCTAAACCCCAGCCCTTGATGAAACTTTTGATTGAAAAATTTGGAAGGGAATCTGAACTTCTTTTTTTTTGGTACCAGGGATTGAACTCAAGGGTGTTTAACCACTGAATCATTTTCTCAGTCCTGCCTTCTTCTTCTTTTTTTTTTTTTTGTGGTGCTAGGGATTGAACCCAGGGCCTTGTGCATGGGCGGCAAGCACTCTACCAACTGAGCTATATCCTAAGCACACCTTCCCCACCCCACACACTTTTTAAACAGGTTCTCATTAAGTTGCTTGAGGGCCTTGCTAAACTGCCGAGGCTGGCTTTGAATTTATGATCCTCCTGCCTCAGTCTCCAGAGTTGCTGGGATTACAGGTGTGCACCACCATGCCTAGCAGAAGTCTGACTTTTGTTTATTAATATTTCTTTTTTTTTTTGTTTTTTCTTTTCTTAGTTGTCAAATGGACTTTATTTATTTAAATATTTATTTGGACACAATACCCTTATTGCATTCATTTATTTTTATGTGGTGCTGAGGATCAAACACAGTGCCCTGTGCATGCTAGGCAAGCACTCTACCACTGAGCCACAATCCCAGCCCCGACTTTATTTATTTATATGCGGTGCTGAGAAGCAAACTCAGTGCCTCACACATGCTAGACAAGTGCCCTACCACTGCCACAACCCTAGCCCTGTTTATCAGTATTTCTAATTAAAATATCCTAATAATGAAAAGTTGCCCCCACATTTAAATAATTTTAATAGGTTGGGTTTTTGTTTTGTTTTCTTTCTTTTTTTTTTTTGTACTGCTGGAGATCAAGATAAGCACTATACCCCTGAGCTATATGGTGCCCCAGTCCTTGTTTTTTGTGTGTATGTGCTGGAATTTAAACCCAGTGCCTCACACATGCTAAACACACACTCTGTCACTGAACTATAATCCAAGTCCCAGTAAATCATCTTTTTATTTGCTTGTTCTATTTAGTAGTTTCCTCACATAAACAAAGTTTCATCAAACACACATATATCTGGGTCAGTCTGGGAAAGAGTCCTTTGTCTTTTCATATGGAGTCAGTCATCTTCAGTGCAATTTCTGGATTCTTAAATATTTCCATTGGCTTTTATATATATATTTATTTTATTTTATATATATATATATATTTTTTGTTTGTTTGTTTGTTTGTTTGTTTTGGTGGTTGTAGATGGACAGAATGACTTTCTTTGTTTATTTTTTTTATGTGGTGCTAGGGATTGAACCCAGTGTGTCACACGTGCTAGGCAAGTGCTCTGCCACTGAGTGACAGCCCAGCCCTCCGTTGTTAATCTTTTATACATTTTGTAATTCAATTTAATTTTCTTTCTTTTTTTTAAATATTTTTTAGTTGTCAATGGACCTTTATTTTATTTATTTTTATGTGTTGCTGGGAATCAAACCCAGTGCCTCACACATGCATGCTAGGCAAGCACTCTACCACTGAGCCCCAGCCCCTCAATTTAACTTTATTTTTAAATTTTTTTTTAATATTTATTTTTTAGTTGTAGTTGGACACAATTCCTTTATTTCATTGTTTAGTTTTTTATGTGGTGCTGAGGATCGAACCCAGGGTCTTGCATGTGCGAGGTGAGTGCTCTACCGCTGAGCCACACCCCAGCCCCTCAATTTAATTTTCAATAATTTAGTATAATTTTTAGCTGTTCTTGCTATAGTAGGCTTTATATTTTATATGATATATGCTTATTTTTAAAAATTTTATAGAAATTTATTTAGGAAAAAATGTAACATCCAAATAGATTAATAGCCACTACAAATATTTCTTTTTTTAAAAAAATTTTATTTGTTTTAATTAGTTATACATGACAGTAGAATGCACTTATATACTTTGATATATCATACATAGATGGGATATAATTTCTCATTTTTCTGAGTATACATATTATAGAATCACATTGGTCATACAGTCACATATATACATAAAGTAATAATGTCTGTTTCATTCTACTATCTTTTTTATTCCCACATCCCCTGCCTTCCACTCCTTTCACTTCCCACTACCTAATCTAAGATATATGCTTATTTTTATAATTAAGATTTTAAGCAAATGTATCTGTTATATAGAAATTGCCATTTGTATAATTCTTAGCAAAATTATTTTATGAATGATGGCTTAGTTATCTCTATCAATGATTGTCATGAAAACAAATTTAGATAACTTTCTGTTTTAATTGTGTTTTCATTCTGAAATCTTTCTAAAAATAGGAGTATTTTCTGCATTGCGGGCTGTTCCCCAAAAGGAAGGATACCTTGGATTGTATAAAGGAAATGGTGCAATGATGATTCGAATCTTTCCCTATGGTGCAATCCAGTTTATGGCATTTGAGCATTATAAAACGGTAGTTGAATTTTCCTCTTTCTCTTTAGTGTCATTGAATATTATACTTACTTAACCAGACATTTACTTTGAATTTTGTTTTATTTATTTATTTATTTATTTATTTATTTATTTTGTAGTGCTGGGGATAGAACTCAGTACTTTGATAGAACTCACATGCTAGTACTTTGAACTATATACTTTTCTATTTTTTTATTTTTACTTGTAAATGGACATAATAACTTCATTTTTATGTGGTGTTGAGGATTGAACCTAGTACTTCACACATGCTAAGCAAGTGCTCTACCACTGAGCTTCACCTCTAGCCCATGAACTTTAATTTACTTTCAATAAATGAATAAAGTAATATCTTTTATAAGGAATGAGATTTGATAATGTTTAATTTGTAAATATAACTTGGTTTTAGAATTACCTATTCCATAGTTGTTAGTCATTTATGAATATATTCTTTTTCTTTTGTATTACAATTCTTAATATATATTCTTTTTAAAAAAAATATTCTTTTTAGTTGTAGATGGACACAATATCTTTATTTACTTATTTTTATGTGGTACTGAGGATCGAACCCAGTGCCTCACATGTGTGAGGCACGTGCTACAGCCCCAGCCCATGAATATATTCTTTTTTTTTTTTTTTTAGATATTTGAAATACAACTTTATTCTGATTCTAAACAAAAAGGAATGGGGAATATATTCTTTATGTTCATATTTATGAAGAAAAGTCAAAAAGATAAAAATAAACTGTGCATAGTTGTACACACCTGTACTCCCAGCTATTTGGGAGGCTGAGGTAGGAAGATCACAAATTTGAGGCCAGCCTGGGCAAATTAGCAATGCCTTGTCTCAAAATAAAAAATTAAAAAAAAAAGGACTGGGGGATGTAGCTCAGTGGCAAAGCATCTTACTTAATTTCTTACTTAATTTCCAGTAATATAGATAGATAGGTAGGTAGGTAGGTAGGTAGGTAGGTAGATAGATAGGTGGATGGATATCCGGTAGAGATGTAGCTCACTGGTTGAGTGTCCCTGAGTTCAATCCAATACAGCAAAAATAAATAAGAAAGGCTGGACATGGTGGCACATGCTTATAATCCCAGCGGCTTGAGAGGCTGAGCCAGGGGGATCAGCACATTCAAAGACAGTCTCAACTACTTAGTGAGGCCCTAATCAATTTAGTGAGACCCTGCCTCAAAATAAAAAAAATGTAAAGGGCTGGGGATGTGGCTCAGTGTTTAAGTGCCCTTTGGTTCAATCCCAAGTACCATTTAAAAAAAAAAAAAAAAGTTTATCTCCTCAAATATTATCTTAACATTAAAAAAGGGTTAAATTGATTACATTTCAAATGGTATTTATCTTTTTTCTCCCTTTGCTGGGGATGGAACCTGAGCCTCTGCATGCTAGGCAAATACTCTACCACTGAGCTAATTAGTTTACCATAAGTTTTGTGTTGCTAACTCTATTCCTGAGATACATCCCTAGCCCTCTTATCTTAGAAGGAAAAATAATAGCAATGAGAAAAATGTTTCAAGGTGGTTAGTCAGAACTGATGCCATGACTGTACCAAAGCCTCATTGTCTGTGGTAGCTTATTTGCCTTCTTTTTTTTTTTTTTTTGAACTCTCATTTTGAGGGCTGGGGATGTGGCTTAAGCAGTAGCGTGCTCGCCTGGCATGTGTGCGGCCCAGGTTCGATCCTCAGCACCACATACAAAAATGTTGTGTCCGCCGAGAACTAAAAAATAAATATTAAAAAAAAAATTCTCTCTCTCTCTCTCTAAAAAAAATAAAATAAAATAAACTCTCATTTTGAGGTGCTAGGGATTAAACCCAGGGCCCTGTGCACATTTGGCAAGCAACACGCCACTCTACCATTGAGTTCATCCCTAGCCCCTATAGTGGCTTTTTATTCCTACTACCCTCATTCACACTTTCAGTTTATTGTTATTAATATATAGTATTGTAATTGTAAATTAGATAATCTTCATTATTAAATGGTGAAATGGACATCATGTAAAAAAATATAATTTAATTCAGTATTTTTGTTTTCTAGTTAATTACCACAAAGCTGGGAGTTTCTGGTCATGTGCACAGATTAATGGCTGGATCCATGGCAGGTAAGAGGAGTAGGTCTATTTTATTTCTGAGAAGTTAATTTTTTTTTCTTGTTGGTATTGTACTGCGGATTGAACTGAGATGCAGTTTACTACTGAGCCACATCCCTAGCCCTTTTAAAAATGTTTTTATGGAGACAAGATTTCCCTAAGTTGTTTAGGGTCTTGCTAAGTTGCTGAGGTTGGCTTTGAACTTGTGATCCTCCTGCCTCAGCCTCCCAAGCTGCTGGGATTACAGCTGTTGGCCATTGTGCTGAGGAAAATATTGCTAATGTTTATTTCCCAGTTTTATGTTTGTCTTTTGACCTTGTGATTTGGTTTTACTTTTACTTTTTTTTTTTTTTGTGCTGAGGATTGAACCCAGGACTTCACTCATGCTATGTAAGTGCTCTACCACTGACCTACACCCAACCCTTGTGATTATGTATTCATTTGTATTTCTCTTTAATTTTTTAAAATATTTTTTTAGTTGTCAATGGACCATTATTATTTATTAATATGTGGTGCTGAGAATCAAACCCAGTGCCTCACTATGCTAGGCAAATGCTCTACTACTAAGCCACATCCCCAGCCCCAATTTTTTTATTCTTTGTGATCTTTTTGGTCGTTTTTCTTTTTTAATACCAGGTATTGAATTCGTGGGCACTCAACCACTGAGCCACATCCCCAGCCCTATTTTGTATTTTATTTAGAGACAGGATCTCACTGAGTTGCTTAGCACCTCGCCATTGCTGAGGTTGTCTTTGAACTCTCGATCCTCCTGTCTTAGCCTCCCAAGCCACTGGGATTATAGGTGTGTGCCACCATGCCAGCTTCAATATAATTTTAAGAAAAGAATTCTTTGTGTTCCATTAAGTAAACAATTTCTCCATTTTATGTTTTGGGAAAATAAGTAAAAAATCAAAATCACATGTCTTGCTTAGTGTCAGAGGTATATAGCATATCTTTTCTGATATCTTAACTATACATAGAGAAGCTGTAGAATAAATTGTTTTTATAAACTGTTATAATAAAAGCCAGTCTATTTTGTATATAGGTGGTACACACCTGTAGTTCCAGCTTCTTGAGAGGCTGAGATGGGAGGAGTGATCAGGCTCAGTAATTGGAGGCTACCTTGGGCAAGCAAGCAAGATGTTGTCTCTTAAAAAATAAACAACCTGGAGTTCTAGCTCAGTGGTAGAATGCTTGCCTACCACATGTGAGGCACTGAGTTTGATCTTAAAGACCACATAAAAATAAATAAAATAAAAGTATTATTCTATCTACAACTAAAAAAATAAAATAAACAACCCCTTATGAGCAGGGAATATTGCTCAGTGGTAGAGAACTTACTAAGCATGTATGAGACTCTGGGTCCAATCCCCAAAACTCCAAAAATGCCCCCTCATGATCTACTTATACTATACCATTTGGTGCTAAGAATACTAGTGCAAATGGGAAGAACTTTAAAAGAATTTAACAGACTGACCCTTCCTGCGTGGTTTTTCCAGCTGATTATAATTCCATCATTAATGTCAACTTTGATTTCATTGGGTTTTCATCATTACTCTGGTATTGAGAACACTACTATTGATAGGGGAGATCCGTACACATACATACACATAAATACATACATATACACATACATGTTTGTGTCATAATTTTTTTTCTATATTTAAGTTTTAATTTTCTTTCCAGGTATGACAGCAGTTATCTGTACTTACCCTCTTGACATGGTTAGAGTACGCCTAGCATTCCAGGTGAAAGGGGAACACACCTATACAGGAATCATTCATGCATTCAAAACAATTTATGCAAAGGTATTTCATATTTACCTTCCACATATTTAACATGTCCTTTTATATTTAGGAAATGATTTTGAATTATATATAACTGATATTAATAATAATAATTATGAAAGCCTATTCTTGTATTTCAGTGTGGGTCCCAGAATAATTTTTCCAGTTTGTGTATGTTTTTATTCTTTGAATTTTATCATAATGAACACAATGTAATATCACTTCTAATTTTCTTCACAAAAAGGAAGGTGGTTTCCTTGGATTTTACAGAGGACTGATGCCCACTATATTAGGAATGGCTCCATATGCAGGTATGTTTCAAATTAGGCAGGATCCTACTTTGTGTGTTTAAATTGTTACCAGTTTTTTTCATAAGTGGTAACATGAATGATGCTACTTACAAAGGCTTTTTACTTGCTAAATGATGAAGATAAAATTATGGTCCATATATGGTCTTACAAAGATGACTATTCATGTAGAATGAGTAGAAGTTCACTTTTAACATGATTTTCTTAACATCTGTGTCAGGTATAGTCTTGTTAATGCACATTATTTTAGATGATTGTTAAGGATACAGTTTTTTTTTTTTAAAGAGAAAGAGAGAGAGAATTTTAATATTTATTTTTTGGCGGACACAACATCTTTGTTTGTATGTGGTGCTGAGGATCGAACCTGGGCCGCACGCATGCCAGGCGAGCGCACTACCGCCTGAGCCACATCCCCAGCCCTTAAGGATACAGTTTTATGAGTGTGTTTATTAAAAGAAAGAATTGAAAAATATTTTTTCCCTTATGATAAATAATGATGATGTATTATGGGAAATTTAGAAAATATAGAAAAGTAGAAAGGAGAGATATGATATCTGTAGTTCTCAAATTTTGTTGTTACCTTGTTTATATTCCTGTTTTTAATCTAATTTTAAATTTTGAGATAATTATAGATTTACATAAAGTTGTAAGAATCAATACGGAGAGATCTTGCATACTCTACCCAGTTTCCCCCAATGGGAATGCCTTAAAAAACTAGTACACTATCATAACTAGAATATTTACATACTGTAAAGATACAAAATCATCACAAAGATCTTGCTTACTTTTATAGCCATACCCCTCCTGTCCTTTCCCTAACTCCTGAGGTAATAAACTTTCAATAACTTTATATAAATGGTATCATTTAGTATATGACTTTTGGTTATTGATTTTTCACTCATAAGTTCCTGGAGATTCATCCAAGTTGTTTGTATCAATAGTTTGTTCTTTTTTGTTGATGATTATTATTCCATGATATGGAAGTATCAATACTTTGTGTTTCATGGAATTATATTTTAAAGATATATTCATATTATGGATAAATGTTCATTTATTTATCCAGTCGTCTATATATTCTAGTTCAAGATTGTTTTCTGGACTATATAACTAGGAGTAGAATTTTTAGGTTGTAAGTAATGTATTTCTTCACTTCTTGTAGATAAGATCAAATTGATTGAAAATAGTTGCTATATCCATTTATATTTCCACCAGCAGTGGTTAAAAATTTCCATTAGTAGTCAGGTATGGTGCCACATGCCTGTAATTCCAGCTATTTGGGAAGCTGAGGCAGGGGGGTTGTGTATTTAAGGCCAGCCTGATCAATTTTGCAAGACTTTGTCTCAAAATAAGATAAAAAAGGGCTCAGGGTACACCCAGTCAACGGTAGAGTGCTTGTCTAGCATGTCCCAGACTCTGGGTTCAATTCTTGTACTGAAAAGAAAAAAAAAAAAAATCCTATTGGTATTAACTGATTTCGAAATCTTCTGTGAGTTTTTTTTTTTTTTTTTTTTTTTGGTGGGGTACCAGGGTTTGAACTCAGTGGCACTCAGCCACTAAGCCATATCCCCAGCCCTATTTTGTATTATTTTTTTTTAATATTTATTTTTTAGCTTATTTAATTTATTTACTTATACATGTTGCTGAGGATTGAACCCAGGGCCTGTCATGTGCTAGGCAAGCGTTCCACTGCTGAGCCACAACCCCAACCCCTATTTTTTATTTTATTTAGAGATAGGGTCTAACTGAGTTGCTTAGCATCTCTCTGTTGCTGAGGCTGGCTGTCTCAGCCTCCTGGGCTGCTGGGATTATAGGCATGTCCCCTCGTGCCTAGCTCTTTTGTGATTTTTGTAGGGAATAAAAAGTAATTTATGGGCTGGGGATGTGGCTCAAGCGGTAGCGCGCTCGCCTGGCATGCGTCCGGCCCGGTTCGATCCTCAGCACCACATACAAAACAAAGATGTTGTGTCCGCCGAAAACTAACTAACTAAATAAATAAACTCTCTCTCTCTCTCAAAAAAAAAAAAAAAAGTAATTTATGAAATTTTATTTTGTGTCTCCCAGATTACTGATGAGATTGAACAATTTTTATGTATTATCAATCACATTTCCTTTTTTGTGAAGTACCTGTTTATACATGTGTTTGGCCTACTTTTCTTATTGATTTGTCTCAATTCTTCCCACCCCGTGTCCCCCGCCTTCCGCTCCTTTTGGTATTGGGGATTGAACACAGGGCCTAACACATGCTAGGCAAGCATTCTACCACTAAGCTACATCCCCAGCCCTTTTTCAATTTATTTTGAGACATGGTCTTGCTAAACTGATAAAACAGGCCTTGAACTTGTGATCTTCCTGCCTCAGCCTCCCAGTAGCTGGGATTACAGGTGTATCACCACCATACATGGCTTGTATTAATTCTTTATGTAATTTTTATTTATATATATTGAAAATATTGCTGTTTTTGGCTTGGATTATTTATTTATTTATTTATTTAGGCAATATTGGAAGTTGAATCCAGGGTGCTCTAACACTGAACTGCTTGTTCAGTCTTGCCCTCCCTTTCCCCAACCAATCCCCTCCCCATTTCTTTTTTCTTCTTCTTTCTTTTTTTTCTTTTTTACAGAGAGAGAGAGAGAGAATTTTTTTAATATTTATTTTTTAGGCGGACACAATATCTTTGTTTGTATGTGGTGCTGAGGATCGAACCCGAGCCGCACGCATGCCAGGCGAGTGCGCTACCGCTTGAGCCACATCCCCAGCCCCTCTTTTTTCTTTTCTTTTTATTTTTTTTTTAATATTTACTTTTTAGTTTTCGGCGGACACAACATCTTTGTTTGTATGTGGTGGTGAGGATCGAACCCGGGCCGCACGCATGCCAGGCGAGCGCGCTACCGCTTGAGCCACATCCCCAGCCCCCTCTTTTTTCTTTAAAAAAATTTTTTTTTGGTACCAGGGATTTTACCCAGGATGCTTAACCACTGAGCCACACCTCCCAGTCCTTTATTTTATTTATTTATTTTTTTTTGTGGTGCTGCGGATTGAACCCAGGGCCTTGTCCATACAAGGTAAGCACTCTACCAACTGAACTATATCCCCAGCCCCCTTTATTTTATTTAAAATTTTTTATCTTGGGACAGGGACTCACTAAATTGTGCCATCATGTAAAGCTGCCTCCTATGTTTTTGAGACACAGTCTCTCTAAGTTGCCCAGACTGAACTCAAACTTGAGATCCTTCTGCCTCAGCCTTCTGAGTAGCTATGATTACAGACATGTGCCACTGTGCCCTGTTATTTATAGTGTCTTTAATTATTTACCAGAGATTGAACTCAGGGGCACTCAACCTCAGAGCCACATCTCAGCTGTATTTTGTATTTTATTAGAGACAGGGTCTCACTGAGTTGTTTAACACCTCGCTTTTGCTGAGGCTGGTTTTGAACTCAAGATCCTCCTGCCTCAGCTTCCTCAGCTGCTGGGATTACAGGTGTGTGCCACCAAGCCTGGCTCTATAGTATCATTAAAAATTTTTTAAATTTAATTTTTTTAGTATCAGGGATTGAACCCAGTATTGCTTAACCACTGAACTACAACCCCTGCTCTTTTTGTGTGTTTTTATTTTGAGATAGGGTCTTACTTAATTCTTAGGGTCTCGATAATTTGCTGAGGCTGGTCCTGAACTTGCCATCTTCCTGCCTCTGCCTCCCAAATCACCACCATACCTGACCCTATAGTTTGATGAAGGGAATTCTATGTTTTTTTAAACTTGCTGTGTCCTTTTTTTTTTTTTTTTTTAGTTGTAGGTGAACACAATACCGTTATTATTTATTTACTTATTTTTATGAGGTGCTGAGGATCAAACCCACAACCCACTGCCTCACACATTCTAGGCATTGTAGCATTGAGCACCAACCTCAACCCTCTATGGGTTTTTTTTTTTTTTAATAACAGCTGTATTGAGATACAATTCACATGCCATAAAATTTACTAATTTAAATGTATGTTTTTATTGGTTTTGAGTATATTTACAGAGTTGTACAACTGTCACCACAATTAGTATTATAACATTTTAATTACCTCTGAAAGAAACTTTTCAGCCTTTATCCATCACTTCCCAGTCCTAAGCAACTACTAATCTTTTCATCTCTATTGATTTGCTTTTTCTGGATATTTCATACAAATGAAGTCATTTTATACATGGTATTTTATGACTGGTATCTTTCATTTAGTGTAATGATTTCAAGGTTCATTCATGTTGCCATATTCATCATTCCTTTTCATGGCCAAATGGTATTCTACTGCATGGACGTGTTGCATTTTGTTTATCCATTCCTAAGTTGACAGGCATTTGGGTTGTTTTCTGTTTTTGGCCAAGAGGAAAAATGCTGCTATGAACATTCATATACATGTTTTTGTATGGTTATATGTTTTCATTTCTCTTGGGTATTTTCCTCACTGTTTAATATTTTGACGAATTGTCCAAATCTTTTCCTGATGGCTTCACTTTTTTACATTCCTGCTAGCAATATGTGAGTTGTTATTTTTGACATTTTTGGTAATGCTTGTTTTTATTTGACTTTCAGTTATAGTCAGTCTATTGAGTGTGAAGTTGTATCTCATTGTGGTTATAAATTTCATTGCATTTTTTTATTACTGAGTCAGATTTCATTGTATGAGCATAGAATAGTATGCTTATTTTCCTATTAATGGATATTTGGAGTTTTTCCAAATTAGGGTTATTATAAGTAAAGCTACTATAAACATAAAAGTCTTTTTATGTGCTTATGTTTCTGTCTTTGGGTCAAATACTCAGAAGTGGAATTGCTGGGTAATAGAATAAGAATATGTTTTAATTGAATCTGTTTTAATTTATAGGAAGCTTCCAAACTGCTTTCCAAATAAATTTTTTATTTAACTTTTTAAATTTTGAGACAGGGTTTCACTAAGTTGCTAAGTTGCTGAGGCTGGCCTTGAACTTGTTATCCTCCTGCCTCAGCCTGCCAAGCCACTGGAATTACAGGTGTGTGCTACCATGCCCAGCTTTTCCAAATTTTTTTTTTTTTTTTTTTTTAGAATGATTTTTAGATTTTAGTATTTTATATATAACCCTTAATCCTGCTGGGTTTTCTTCCCTTAGTGCTGGGGGATTGAATCTAGAGCCTTGTGCATGCTAGGCAAGAGCTCTGCACTGAGCCCCATCCCCAGCCTTGGATTATTTTTTCCTTTGTTAAGGATAACCATTTGACCCAGTACCATTCATTAAATAATATCTCTTTTCCCTGTGGCCTGCAATGATACTTTTTTTTTTTTTCAAAGTAGAGTACTATTTTGTAAGGAGTCATTATATTTTGTAGGGCAAATTCCTTCACCTTATGTTTATTATTTTCAAGAAAATCAAGAACTATGGATATTTTGCTATTCCATGAATGTTTTAAAATTAGCATTTGATATTTCACAAAAATCCTCATTGGAATTTTGAATGGAATTTCATAAAGGTATTTTTGTATAAATATAATTTTTTTTTTAGTTGTAGGTGGACACGATGCCTTTATTTTTATTTATTTATTTTTATGTGGTGCTGAGGATTGAACCCAGTGCCTCGCCCTTGCTAAATGAGCGCTGTACCACTGAGCTACAACCCCAGCTGGTAGTGGTCATCTTTGTTAGACATATTATGTAGATACAAGGATTTTGTTTTTGTTTTTGTTTATTTATTTATTTTTTTTGGTACAAGATTTTGAACCCAAAAGCATTTAACCACTGAGCTACATCCCTACCCCCTTTTTTTTTTTTAAATTTTGAGATAGGGGCTCACTAAGTTGCTTAGCCCCTTGTTAAGTTGATCAGGCTGGATTTGAACTTGAGATCTTCCTGCTTCACTGTCCTGAGTTGCTAGGATTATAAGCATGTGCCATTGTACTGGGCTGTAGACACAAGTTTTTTTGTTGTTGTTTAGACACAAGTTTTGATGTATCTTTTAGACAAGTACATTTTCAGTTTACTGCTTGATTTAATTTTTATATTATAGCCAGCCATTTTCCTACTGTTGACATTATTATAATCATTAATATTTGGTACTTGGGGTTGAACCCTGGGGTGCTTAACCACAGAATACATTCCTAGTTCTTTTTTTTTTTTTTTTTTGAGATGATCTCACTAAATTGCTGTGGGTGTGACTAAATTGCTGAGGCCAGCCTCAAACTTGTGATCCTTCTTGACTCAGGCTCCCAAGTCACTGGGATTTCAAATCTGCCCCATGTCAGAACCACATACAAACAAAAAATTTGTTTGTATGTGGTTCTGACATTATTATAGTCAGCCTCCATGTTACTTATAGATAGTTTGGGTTTTCTATATGAACAGTCATATTCTGTGTAAATAATATCATTTTTTTCTTCTAATCCAATCCTTCTTTCTTTGTTTATGTTTATCCTATCTTACCTGGCTAGGGACCTTTAGTGCAGTAATGAATAGAAGTAGTGATAATGGACATTTTTGCTCCTTGCTGATTTTATTTTATTTTATTTTTTGATACTGGATTCCAACCCAGGTGCTTTACCACTGATCTACATCCCCAGTACTTTTTATTTCTTTAAATTTTGGGGACAGGGTCTCACTAAATTGTTGAGTGTCTTTCTGAATTACAGAGGCAGGCCTGGAATTTGCAATCCTCCTGCCTCACTAAGATTGCAGTCCCCTTTTATTTATTTATTTGGTACCATGGACTGAACCCAGGGGTCTTAACCACTGAGCCACATCCCCAGTCATTTTTTTTTTTTTTAAAGAGAGAGTGAGAGAGAATCTTTTAATATTTATTTTTTAGTTTTCGGCCGACACAACATCTTTGTTTGTATGTGGTTCTGAGAATCGAACCCGGGCCGCACACATGCCAGGCGAGCGCGCTACCGCTTGAGCCAAATCCCCAGCCAAGCTTTCTTTTTTTTTAATACTTATTTTTTAGTTGTAGTTGGACACAATACCTTTATTTTATTTATTTATTGTTACATGGTGCTGACCATCGAACCCAGGGCCATGCACTTGCTAGGTGAGTCCTCTACTGCTGAGCCACAACCTCAGCTCTGGCCTTGAATTTTCAATCTTCCTGCCTCAGCCTCCCCAGTAGCTGGGTTTACAGGCATGTGTCACCACACCTGTCTAAAGTCATCATTCTTAAACTATGCCATTCATCAGGCTGAGTTAGATTTTTGTTCTTTTTCTTGTCCAAGGGGTGGAACCCAGGACCTTTGGCATGTTAGACAAGTGATCTATCACTAAGCCACACCCCCAGTACAGGTTTAGTTTTTAGGTGTTTTTTTTTTGGGGGGGGGGTGGGTATCTAGGATTGAACTAGGGGCACTCTACCACAGAGTCATATCCCCAGCCCTATTTTGTATTTTATTTAGAGACAGGGTCTTACTAATTTGCTTAGTGCCTTGCTGTTGCTGAGGCTGGCTTTGAACTTGCCGGCCTCCTGCTTCGGCCTCATGAGCCACTGGGATTATAGGCCTGCGCCACTGCACCTGTCCAGGTTTAGGGTTTTTTTGTGTATGTGTGGTGCTGCAGATAGAACCCAGAACCTTGTACATGTGAGGCAGGAACTCTAGCAACTAAGCTATATCCTAAACCTCATGTTTAGTTTAATTTTTTTTTCAAATAAAGGTTATGTGCAGAACCTTTTTTTAAAAATATTTACTTTTTAGTTTTAGGTGGACACAATATCTTTATTTTATTTTTTATGTGGTGCTGAGGATTGAACTGAGGGCCTCACACATGCTAGGCAAGCACTCTACCACTGAGCCACAACCCCAGCCCATCTTGCTAAGTTCTTTAGGAACTCACTAAGTTGTTAAGGCCTGCCTCAAACTTGTGATCCTCCAGCCTCAGCCTCACAAGTCCCTGGGATTACAGGTGTGTGCTGCTGTGCCTAGCAAAATCATGTAAAATTTTTTGCAAGCACCAACTTCATACTATATTATTAAAATCTCCAAGTCTTATGAGCCAATATGAACATTTTATTATGTTCATAATTTTTTCTTGAAGATAAAATTGTTATAGTTAAAATTGTAATGCTTTTTCACTTCTGAATTTTTTGCCTATATTATCACCTTCATTATTGTTGTAAGTATAAGTTGTCATAGTTACTTGTAAATATTAATCATGAATTTAATTTTCACTCATGTAAAACTTTGGAAAATGTTTATTTTGATTCTATATAAGGTGGCATTACGTCACTACCACTTCCTTCAATGAGTAATATGCTAGTATATGAAAACCAATGCTATAATTTTTTATAGGTGGTAAATATTTATAAATATTTATAAATACGTCAATAATTATAAATACAAGATCTTTCTTATGTTAAGCCAAATATCAGTAATTAGGAAATGCTTAGTTACTTTCTTGAATTAATTGATTATTACATAAGAAAAGGTGACTTTTTCGCGGCTCATGTTCTGTGAAGCATCATGGTGAATTTATATTTTGTTTTTCAGGTGTTTCATTTTTTACTTTTGGTACCTTAAAGAGTGTTGGGCTTTCCCATGCTCCTACCCTTCTTGGCAGACCTTCATCAGACAATCCTAATGTCTTAGTTTTGAAAACTCACATTAACTTACTTTGTGGTGGTGTTGCTGGAGCAATAGCACAGACAATATCGTAAGTTTCTTCAACAACTTAATTCAGTCAAATTATAGTTATCCAATCCTAATTTTTAGCGTTGCTTAATTATTTTAGTTTTTCTAATAAATTCTTCAAAAACAGGATCCCTTGTAAAACAACAAGTACTAATTTTTATAAGCATTAATTTATTTTTTTCAGATAAGCCTTAACTTTAAGGATATTAATAAGTAATCATATGCCAAATTGATAAAGTTAAGGTGAATCCTCCCGATTTTATACAGATACACTCATAAGAAAGAAAAAGAAACACTAAATATGTTGTTCATCCATATTTTCTTGTGAACTTGCCTATATAAAATTTCTAAAGTTTGAAGCATTTAAGAGAGAGACTGTGTGTGTGTGTGTGTGAGTGGGTGTACACACGCGTGCGCGGAGTCACAATTTGCTTTGGATCTTGAAGTCCTACTTTGTGCCAGATAGTACACTAGGAATTGGGAAATTCACTGATAGGAAAACAAAGTTGTTACCTCAGCAAGTTTATCTTTTTATTAGGCGTAGCAATATTGTGTTACTCTAGACAGATTTTAAAATGTAGTGGGGATGTTGATAAAGGTATTACTATAGTATAATTGGGAAGGTGACTTCAAAGAATTTTCCTAGGTTAAAAGAGATTGAGTAGAATGAAATTGGAAGAAACTAGAACATAAAATACAGGGATTTTTCAGCAATAGGAAGAAGAAAAGCTTTTTATGAACAAGAGAAAATATTCTGAAAAATAAGAAGACAAGGAAATAGTAATGTTACAAAGAATCAAAGAGTATCCAGGACTGGGGATATAGTTCTGTTGGTAGAGTGCTTGCCTTGCATGTACAAGGCCCAGCACCACACAAAATGAATGAATGAATGAATAAATAAATAAATTAATAAATGAGTCAAAGTCTTAAGAAAAAAAACAAAACACAAAGAGTATCCAATGGGAAAGGAAAAGTCAGTAAGATAAGTAAGGTTTTCATTGGATTTCCAAATTGAGGATTATTATTATTATTATTATTTTTTGAAAGCAGATTCCATGTATTTGTAGGTGGGAGCAGATTGTACTAGATTGAAGGTAAAGAAGAAAAAGTGTGTGATTTACTTTTGGAAAGTCGGCTGTCAATCCTGTTCACTTGAGAGACATGTTCATCTCCAGCTATTATTGTCATTCTCTTTTTGTTGCTTCCCTTTCTTTACTAACTCAACAGCTTAGCTCCCTAAAATCTGTCTTTCTTTTTCCACTTTTTTTCTTAAAAAGTATATTCTATGCCCATGGAACCATCCATCATCCAGTGGCTCCGGTTCTTTTTTTTTTTTTTTAAAGATAGAGAGAATTTTTTAATATTTATTTTTTAGTTTTCGTTGGACACAACATCTTTATTTGTATGTGGTGCTGAGGATCGAACCCAGGCCGCATGCATGCCAGGCAAGCGCGCTACCGCTTGAGCCACATCCCCAGCCCCGACTCCGGTTCTTTAAGCCTCTCTTCTGTTGTCCTAGTTCTTGGGTTGTTTTAATAGTACCTCCATTTTCAGGTATTTTCTGATTTATAGCCTACCTTTCTGTGTGAAAATTTTAAGAACAAATCAGACTTCAGCCTCTCTTCTCAAACTAAGTATGTAGAACAGCTTATTCATCTTCATTGTTTTATTTATTTTTTCATTTTCCCTCCCTTCTTTTCTTCCTTCCATCCATCCCTCCTTCCTTCCTTCCCTTTTTCCCTCCCTCCCTTTCTTCCAACTTTCCTTCCCTCCCTCCCTCCTCTCTTCCTTTTTTTTTTGGTACTAGAGATAGAACCCAGGGGTGCTTAACCTCTGAGCCACATCCCCACCCCTTTTAAAATTTTTTACTTTGAGACAGGGTCTTGCTAAGTTGCTTAGGGCCTTGCTAGTTGCTGAGGCTGGCCTCAGACTTGCAATCCTTCTGCTTCAGCTTCCCAAGCCATTGGGATTACAGGTATGTGTCACCATGCCCAGCATCTTCATGGTTTTAATGGTCACCTCTGTATAGATATTTTAATCTCTATTACTGACTCCCTATTACATCTCCAGCAAACTTTTAGATTCTACTTGGTCTTCTGCCATCATTGAACACTCTAGAATTCAAATATTACCCCTTCTTGGGGCTGTGGGCTTTGATCAGCAGTAGAAAGCTTGCCTAGCATGCACAAGACAGTAGTTTTGATCTTTAGCAAAACAAAACAAAAAGAAACAAATATGCCTTCTTGTCTTCATCTTTGTCCTCAGCCCTCACCTTTCCTATTTGTTATCGATAGACACCATTCTACTAGTCCTAATAAATCATTTTCCACATCATATATAACTAGATAGTCACTATGTCTTGTCATTATTTTACTTTAGAAGATTCCCTAGAATGCCATTTTGTCTTTCCCACTGTTATTTCCCTTGTTTTGGACTTTTTCAGTTTGTCTTCTTATATTCTTTCTACCCACACCATTTCGGGTTGGAAACCAATCCTGCAGTTGAGGTTTTCAGTCTCTATAGTCCTGTAAATCTTTTTCCTTTTCTCTTCTTCCCCAATAATAAGTATTTTCTGGAGATGGTATTGAGGTACATAGGGAGCCTCAACTACTGGTAATGTTATTTCTTATGTTGCAGGGTTGATATGTGGGTATATTTTTTAAAATAATGAATTTAAATGTGTATTAAATGTATGATTGTTTTATTATACTTTTGTGCATATTAGATTTCATAGAAAACTTGAAATAGGAAAGTAGAAAGCAGTTTTGTGACACTGATGGATGTTTCTCAATAATTTTAAACTTAGTATTGGAATAATAATATCTACTTCATGCAATTGTTTTGAAGTTGAAATGAAATAATGAACATAAATTGTTTAACATAGTACTGAATACAAAGTAGTCAGTCAGTACTAGGAATGTAAAAGTAGTTTTTAAAGAAATCACCTGCATTCCCACTGCTAAAAGAGATTACCTTTGCATATATAATTTTTAGGCAATGGTATAATTTTCTCAGCCCTTAAAATGCAATTATTTGTATCATTAACTCTAGCCCTTTTAAAAAAATTTGTATTAGTCTATTGTATATGTGGGAACTTGCTGAATATTCTTCAGGTGGTAGTTCTCACTGTTGGGGGTGATTTTGACTCCAGTGGACATTGGTTAATGTCTGAAGACATTTTTGGTTGTCAAAACTGTAGGGCCGCTACTGGCAAATAGTGGGTAAAGGTCAGGGAGGCAGCTAAACATCTTAGGATACACAGGACAGTGCCCACAGCAAAGAATGATCCAAAATATCAACAGTGCCAAAGTTGAGAAATCCTATGTCAGCGTTCCAACAATGAAAGCACCCAGTTTCTTTAGGAAATGGCATAAAAATTTGGTTTCAAAAAATGAACAGAACTTGATATTGCGATAATGGGAAAGATATGTCCTTTAAAGAGGGAAAGGAGACATTGTATAGTTAATTGATTTATTCATGTGTTTATTTCCTGATTCCCAGATTGGAGAAAACTTTAAGAATATACTTTATTTCCTAGTGTGGATGGGACTTTGCATTCAATGCTTGTTGAAATAGAAAATGAAAAATAATGTTTTTTAAGTCTTTTTGCCTTTTCTTCTTTTAGATACCCATTTGATGTAACTCGTCGGAGAATGCAACTAGGAACTGTTCTGCCAGAATTTGAAAAGTGCCTGTAAGTTCTCCATACATCATTGTATCTTTAGAAAATGTAATGTTTAAAAGTCAGTAGGAAGATAGGACTCTGGTCTCACCTATAGTCCCTGTCTTTCATTTTGTGTCCGATAGTATACTGTGGTAACTTTGTAGAAACATATAGAGAGTTACATGTATAATTTTAAAAATTCTGGGAGCTACATTTTTAAAAAATATAAAAACAAACATAATTCTTTTATAATTTTTTTTTGTTTCATCTAATAAGTCTGAAATGTTATCATTTAAACATTTCAAAGTTTTTGTAATATTTTGCAATATTTCTTCTAAGTATTTGAAATCCAGTGTGTATTTTATACTTACTGCACATCTCAATTTAAGTGCTCAGTAGCACATGTGGATAGTGGTTATCATTACTATACAGAATAGTTCTGCAGCTTTCCATAATCTGTAGAAATTTAGCATCATTCTGATTTGTGCTACCTTTCTGTCATTATAACACATACCTGAGATAATCAACTTATAAATAGGGGAGGTTTATTTTGGCTCATGATTGATCAGCCCTGTTTTCTTTGTGTCTGTGATGAGACAGCACACCATGGTAGGCATTCATGGCAGAGCAAAACCACTCACTTCATGGCTGGGAAGTGAAAAAAGAGAAGCAAATAAGGGGTTGGGGACTCACAGTACCTTTTTAGCCCATAATGATCTAAAAAGACTTTTAACTAGGCCTCTCCTCTTAAAGGTCTCATCATCTCCCTATAGCACCTCCTTGGGGATCAAGTCTTTAATTCATAGACCTTTAGGGGAAATATTGCAAAATCTTGAAATGTTGAAATGATAACATTTCAGAATTATTAGATGAAACAAAAATATTATAAAAGAATTATCTGTTTGTTTTTATATTTTTTTAAAATGTAGCACCCCGGGGCTGGGGTTATAGCTTAGTGGTACAGATCTTGCCTCATATGCGTGAGACTCTGGGTTCGATCTTCAGCACCACATAAAAATAAACAAATAAAAATAAAGATATTAAAAAAAAAATGCAGGGCTGGGATGTGGCTCAAGTGATAGTGCGCTCGCCTAGCATGCGTGAGGCACTGGGTTCGATTCTCAGCGCCATATTAAAAAAATAAAAAATAAAGATATTGTGTCCACCTAAAAACTAAAAAAAAAATATTTAAAAAATGCAGATCTCAGAATTTTAAAAATCATACATGTAGCTCTCTATGTTTTTATTTAATAGAGCTTCTCTAAAATGAATTTTATAAGAGAAATGGGACGTAACTGAAACCTTACAGAAACCGGACCCATATACCAGTTTGGCAATATGTTGTCCCTCAAAAGAAAAGCAAAATATTTGTTCAGACCTTGGATTGCCTTGTTCATGCAAAAAGTTTTTTTGAAGATTTCAAAATTGCTTATTGAAGGGAAAAGGAAATGGCTATATATTGGTTTGAAAGGAAAGAAACAACTCTGAGCCAGGTGTGATGGTGCATGCCTCTAATCCCAGCATATCAGTCCAGCCTTGGCAATTTAGGAATTTCCCAAGTACTTTAGCCAGACCCTGTCTCAATATAAAAAAATTAAAAGGGCTGGGGATGTAGCCCAGTGATAAAGAGCCCTGGGTTTGTCAATCCCCAGTACTCCCCCCTAAAAAAGAAAGAAAGAACTGTTTGAAACAAGAAAGACTTTATTGCTGAAATCTGAAAGAGAGTCTTTCAAACTTTAGTTCTAAGCTCACCAGCTAGTTACAGTATTTTAAAAGTTGAGTTATGCTGGATAGGGTCGCACATTCTTGTAAGCCCAGCTGTTTGTTTGAGAGGCTAAGGCAAGAGGATCATACATGTAGGGCCAGCCTGGGCAAGTTAGTGAGACCCTGTTTCAAAAAAAAAACAAAAAGGGTGTGGAGGAGGTAGGGGGAGCTGGAGGAGTAAGTAGCTAAGTAGTAGAATACTAGCGTGTGCAAGATCTTGGGGTTGATCCTAGCATTGAAAAAAGAAATAAACAAATACAGGGATTGCCTCAATAGTTGTGAAATAGTGTTGTTAGTTAACATCATAGATGTAGCACAAATGAAATACATTGTTTTAATGAGCCTTCAAATTTATGTACAAAGCTTATATTACACTTGATTGAAATGACTTGCTGTTTCATTGTGAACTTTTAGCTTATTATAACACTTACTTTTCAAAAGTTATTTAACATGCCATTTTAGCTTCTTTTTAAAATGCTATTATGGATCCTGAAATTGTGTCTTTATGAATGGGCAGAGAGGTGTCATCATTTAACCATTGTCTTTCAGTACCATGCGGGAGACTATGAAGTATGTCTATGGACACCATGGAATTCGAAAAGGATTATATCGTGGTTTATCTCTTAATTATATTCGGTGTATTCCCTCTCAAGCAGTGGCTTTTACAACATATGAACTTATGAAGCAGTTTTTTCACCTCAACTAAAAAAAATTGCGGTTTGTGGTTTATTTTCCTTAATAAACTCTCAGAGAAAAATGTTACTTTAATTGTGAAGCAAACATTACTTGAAGGGGGATATTTACCCTGTCACAGGAACCACTGACATTACTACTTGATTTTTTTTTTTTAATTCACAAATCAAAATTGCTTTTGATGCCAATATCCTTTCTGATGCCAAACATTATACCTTTGAACATTGAAAAAATATTACTAAGCTGATGATGCTAATCATAACAGGTTATTTGAAACCATTTTAAAGTGTTATTTGGGAGCAAAACTAACTTAAAATGGAGCTTAAGAGGTTGCCATTAGCTTTATCTTACTATTCCAAACTTCTTCTTCTTTTTATTTTTGCAGTGCTGGGGTCGAATCCAGCACCTCACACATGCCAGGCAAGTGCTCCATCCCTGAGCTAAATTCCCAGCCTCCTGTTCAAAGATTTTAATTGTAATCATGATTTTTTTTTTTTAATGCTGGGGATTGAGCCCAGGGCCCTATACATGCTGAGCATGCACTTGACCACTGAATGATTCTCCAAGCCTGTAGTCATAATTTTGTAAAGAGTCTTTGAACATTTTGTTTATATTATAAAATAAACAAGTTTGATTATATTGCAGCAGAACAATAAGAACTGAATTTTTAAGTTCTATAAAATATAGCCAGCATTCAAGTATTATTATTTCTCTTCTTATGAATGTGTTTCACAAGATAAAAGAACACTTTCTTTTTAGTAAAATAAATATTGTATTTAAAAGTAGAAACTTGCTGGATGCAGTGGCACATACCTTTAATCCTAGTAGCTCGTGGGGCTGAGGTAGGAGGATCACAAGTTCAAAGCTAGCCTCAACAGTTTAGTGAGGCCCTAAGCAACTTTATGAGACACTTCTCAAATTAAAAAATTAAAAGGGCTGGGGATGTAACCAGTGGGTTCAATCCTCAGTATATCCTCCCCACCCCCCCCCCCAAAAAAAAAAAAAAAAAAACACAACTAAAGACTCAAGACGGGTATGTTGGGACACACCTCTAATCCCAGTGGCTCCAGATACTGAGGCAGGGGGATGGCATGGCAAGTTGAGTCCAGTCTTGGCAACTTAGGAAAAACCTGTCTCAAAACAGGAAAAAAAGGTCTAAGTATGTGGCTCATTGGTAGGGCACCCCTGCAGTCAATCCTCAATACATCCAAAAAAAAAAGAGTGAGACAGACTAAATAATCATCAGGTTTTGCTCAAATGTTATGACCAGGTACCATGAGGCATTTACATGTGTTTTTAAAATTCAGTATATTTCCCAAAGGCAGTAATAATAAACCCGAATATCTTTGCTCTCAAAAAGAGTATACTATAGATTTATTCTTATTAGATCATTTGATGTCTACTAGAAAATTTATTTAAGTGGACTGTGAAATATACATTAATGTAGATGTGTGAGTATCAAAGAATGTGCCTAAGGTATTATGTCATGATGATACATCAAGTAGTTCTTCCATGTAAAGTAATTTTATTACAATATAAATTTAAGTAGAAAAATAAGATATGGTCTGATTGTTATCTTTTATATTAAGAAAACATTTTAAATGTAATAATTCCATTTACTGTATTTAGAGCACTTTTTATGTTTTATTGTAAGCATGACAGAAATGGGCAGGGAACAATTAAAATTCTATATTGAGAAATAGTGATTTGTAGAAATTAATGTGATTTTTAAGACATTAGAAAAGTTGAAAGTGTTATTTCTGCATCAATTATTATTTTTTGCTTAAAAGATTTCTTGTCATACTTTAGTAAAAATTTAATGAACTGGTTTCATTTTCAAGTCTTTATTTTAAAAATAAATATGTATCTTTGTATGATTTGTAAGTGTACCAGCCAGTAGAAATACATGTGTTTCTAAAAGTATTTTGTATATTTTCATTTCTGGGGCACACTGTAGGTAACTGTTATCATGAGATCTTGAGATAATTTAAATGTATAAAATAAGTATCTCAGTTATGTTATCAATTAAAGGGAACTGCAGATATTTTTAAGTAAAAAATTGTATTCTATGTCTGTTACAGAATACACAGGATATTGAAAATAAATTTTATTCTTGTTTTGATGGTTTCTTTCTTTTGTTTACATTATTGAAGCACAAACGTGAAACATAAGCAGTCAGAATGGAAGAATATTTAAATATTCTTTGTATCTTATTTATTTAAGATCAATAACCCAAAGTGCATCTTCCTAGGTTGTGTGTTTGTGTGTGTGTGTATGTGTGTGTGTGTGTGTGCGCGCGCCTGTGTGGGTTACTAGGGATTCAAACCAGAGATTCTCTACTGTTGAGCTCCATCCCCAGCCTTTTATTTTTTATTTTTAAGACAGGGTCTCACTAAATTGTCGAGGCTTCCCTCATTAAAGTTGTGGTCCTCCTGACTTGGCCTTCCAAGTATCTGAGATCACAGGTGTGTGCCATCACTCCTAGTTTAGTTTATTTTCCGTTTGAAGATTGTCAGTTTCTTTCTTTTTGTCTCACGGGGCCTCTTTTCCTGCCTTTCATTTTGTTTAGCTCTCTGGTCTGTACAATGGGTCAATGGTCTGATTAGGATTGATGAGTGCCGTAGCACCCCTAATTCTCAATGGTTGCCTGTGTGTAGGTGGAGAAGTTATTGGGTGTACATAATAATATCTTGTTCCATTTTCCACCGGGGTACCGAACATGCATTTTTTTCCCATATTGTACACCAGCTATACCAGCACTGTAGGGGACTTCCCTTGGGAGGCCAAATTTCACACAAACTCATTTGGATACTCAATAACATCCAACACTGGGTATCTGTCTAATAAAGTATGGGTTGCACTTTATGATAACTATTTGTTTACCTATGTTCTTCCCCACAGTTGTTTTCCCAAGGTCAGAGCCATATCCTTGTCCCTAGTGAGGAACAGAGGGTGTGGCACTATAACAGTGCTCAGTAATGTTTATTGGTGGGAGAAGGAAGCCTCACTCCCATTTTTAGAGACCTTCTATCCTAATTGGGATAAATAAAGCACAAATAGTCCAAGAAAACCACAATTTAGAAACAATATATTTTCTTTCACAGAAATGTTGTATTGCTAATTTACCAATATGCGTGGTAAATTAGGAAACCTATATTATACAAGTAATGCATTGCCTGGCAGAGTAGGCCAATCATATCTGACACACTATTCAGCAGCTACACACTTTTCACAGTTCCTCAGATATTTTCTTTGAATATTAGACATTGTGTTAGGCACTAGAAACCAGTGATAAATAGTAATAGTCATAGATGGGTACAGTGCCACACTCCTGTAATTTCAGTAACTCAGGAGGCTGAGGCAGGAGGATAGCAAGTTTGAAACCAATCTCAGCAACTTAGTGAGACACTGTCTCAAAATTAAAAAAAAGTTCTGGGGATGTGGCTCAGTGATTGAGCACCCTTGGGTTCAATCCCCAGAACAACAACAACAACAAAAGTAACAGTATTTCCTTGGGACTTCTTTTATGCCATGCCTTGTTTTAAGCAATTTTTATGCTTTAACACAATCCCTATAATAATGCAATGAGATACACACTATTTACTATTCTCTTTTTACGGATGGTGATAGTCAGGGCCAGGGAAGTTAAGTGATTTGGCTAGGTTCACATGATAAGTGGTGGATCTAGGATTTGAATTCAAGTTAGTCTGAATCTAGAGGGTAGTGTTCTAGTTATGTTGCTATATGCTAACAACTATATCCTGTTCAGATGAAACTCAAGCATGTCTTTTTTTTTTTTGGTACTGGGTATGAACCCAGAGGTGCTCAACCACTAAGCCACATCCCCAGCCCTTTTTTGTATTTTATTTAGAGACAGGGTCTCACTAGGTTGCTGAAACTGACTTTGAACTTGTGATCCTCCTGCCTCAGCCTCCCAAGCTGCTATGATTACAGGTGTGCACCACCACTCCCAGCTTCAAACATGTCAATACATTTGAACATGTTAATAAACATAAGCCAGTAATAAAATGAGTGCAGTTTGTTAAAAGTGCTTACAAGAGGGTAAATACTCAAGGAGGCCACTTAGAATGGTCAAGAAAGTGTTTCTTTGATGTGCAATATATACTATAACCTGATACGTGAATGATAAAAAGGAATCAGCCACAAAAAGAGTTGCAGGGGAAGAGTGGCCTTGTTGAAGGCAACAGTAGGTACAAAACTCTTTTTTTTTTTAAGTTTTTTTTAATATTTATTTTTTAGGTGTAGATGGACACAACACAATGCCTTTTTAAAAATTTGATGTGCTAATATTTTATTCAGGTTTTTTACATATATGGTTATGAGCGATATTGGTTTGTACTTTTTTCCTTGTAATAGTTTTTTTTTTTTTTTATTGGTTGTTCAAAACATTACAAAGCTCATGACATATCATCTTCCATACATTTGATTCAAGTGGGTTATGAACTCCCATTTTTTACCCCAAATACAAGTCTTGTAATAGTTTATGTAGTTTTGACACAGACTTACTTATACTAGCCTCATGAACTGAATTGAGATTTATCTTCTGTCTTGTACTGGAGAAAACTTTACTTAAAATTTTCAATGAGCAAAAATAATTAGATTCTGATCTTTTGGCAACTCAGAACAATTATAGTCAATGCATTAAATAAAAACAACCTACTAGAACAATTACCTTTTCAAAAACAGAACTACTCTGAATTACACAAAGAGAAATTTTCTTTGAATAAAATTTAAAATATTACATACAATAGAAAGGAAAGAAAAATATCATATTTTTATCAACTTGGTACTCTAGATTGTTTTTTAAGTAAACATGAGTATGACAGGAAAAAACAAAACAAAAAAATGGTGATGGATCTCTAAACAATCAGAATTAAGCTGCGGGGCTGGGGATGTGGCTCAAGCGATAGTGCGCTCGCCTGGCATGCGTGCGGCCCGGGTTTGATCCTAAGCACCACACACAAACAAAGATGTTGTGTCCGCCTAGAACTAAAAAATAAATATTAAAAAAATTCTCTCTCTCTCTCCCATTCTCTCTTTTAAAAAAAAAAAAAAAGAATTAAGCTGCTAATGGAGTAAAATCCCAGGTGCTTATGAGGTATATTTTACATGTAAGGTTTTATTCTGTTAAAAAATAAATTTTCTTTTGATAGAAAGCTTTTTCTGAATGTATGGACACTTTTGCCCCTTTCTTGCCTTTTTAGAGACTACAAAAATATGTTAAAATGCCTTGATTGTACATATAATTATTTTATGTGGTGCTGAGGATCGAACCCGGGCCCCGCCTGTGCAAGGAGAGTGCTCTACCACTGAGCCACAATCCCAGCCCAGGAAACTTAACATGGAAGAAAGCTTGGCTTGATAAGGGAATTGTCTGAAGGCCAGTGTGAATGAAGCATTATGGGTGAAGGAGAAGCAACAAATGCACTTTAAAAAGAGACAGCCGGGTGTGATGGTGCACGCCTGTAATCCTAGCTGCTAGGGAGGCTTAGGCAGGAGGATTATTAGTTAAAAGCCAGCCTCAAAAAGTTTAGAGAGGCTTTAAACAACTTAGTGAGAGCTTGTCTTAAAATAAAAGGTACAACACACAAATTAAGACAAAGGCCAAAACATGAGGGCATGATGTTGGCACATGCCTGTAACCCCAGTGACAGGAGGCTGAAACAAAAGGATCACAAGTTCAAGTCAGCCTTGACAACCTAGTGGGAAACTCTCTCAAAACAAAATAATGAATGTGGGTGAGAATGTAGATCAGAGGTAGAAGACCTCTTGGTTAAATCCCTACTAACACACACACA